AGTGAGATGGATTGGCAAAGTGGCAGCATCAAGGTGATCAAGTGTGGCAACAATTGTGTGAGACTGGCCAGGACCGGGTAGTGTTTCGTTTTGTGCACAGGGTTGCTATGAGTTGGTAATGGCTTGATGGTACCTAACAACAACAACAATCTGTGGTATCATTGAACAATATCATTAATATCACATGTAAGCAAAATTTTGCTGAATATAATCTAAAACATAGTTTTAGCAGTACATTGGCAAGGACCTGCCAGAAATTCAAGCTGGATTCAGATGAGTATATGAAGCAAAGGCTATCATTGCTGACTGCAGAAGGATCTTGGTTGAAAGCAGAAAATACCAGAAAGATAAATATTTGTGCTTTATTGATTATGCAAAGACATTCCATTGTGTGGATCATAACAAATTATGGATAACATTGCAAACAATGAATATTCCAGAACACTTTATTGTGATCAAGAGGAATCTGGAGATCAAGAGATAGTTTTTGAACAGAACAAGGAGACATTGAACGGTTAACATCAGGGAAGATGTGCATCAGGGTTGAATCTTTTCACCATATTTATTCAATCTATATGCTGAGTAAATAATCAGAGAAGGTGGATTATATAAAGAAGAATGTGGCATCTGGAATGAGTGAAGACTCATTAACAACTTGAATTATGCAGATGACACAAACTTGCTTGTTGGAAGCGTTGCTGTTGTTGTTTTTAGGTGCCATCGAGTCACTACCAACTCATAGTGGCCTTATCCACCGCAGAATGAAGCACTGCCCGATCCTGGGTCAACCTCACTACTGTTGCCACACTTGAGTTCATCGATGCTGCCACTTGGCCAATCCATCTCGCTGGGGGTCTTCTTCTTTTTCTCTGACCCTCCCCTTTACCAAACATGATATCCTTCTCCAATGACTGGTCCCTTCTGACAATATGTCCAAAGTATGAGAGACGAAGTTTGGCCATCCTGGCCTCCAAGGAGCACTCTAGCTGCATTTCTTCCAAAACAGATCTATGGGTTCTTTTGGCAGCCCTTGGCACTTTCAATATTCTCCTCCAAAACCATAACTCAAAAGCATTAATTCTTCTACAGTCTTTTTTATTCACTGTCCAGCTTTTGCATGCATATGAGGTTATTGAAAATACCATGACTTGGAAGCTGACATCTTTGCTCTTCAACATTTTAAAAAGGTCTTGTGCAGCTGATTTGCCTAATGCAATACATTGTTTGATTTCTTGACTGCTGTTTCCATGAGTGTTGATAGTTGATCTAAGAAAAATGAAGTTTTTCTAACAAAATTCATCTAACATCTGCAATGATATCCCTGGTTCCACATCCCCTTCTAAATCCAACTGTATTTCTGGCAGTTCCCTGTCAAATGTTTTTGAATTATTTCCAGTACAATTTTACTTGCATGTGATATTGAAGATATTGTTTGATAATTTCTGCATTCTGTTGGGTGACTTTTATTTGGAAAGGGCACAAATATGGATGTCTTTCAGTGGGCTGGCCAGAGTTGGTTTCAGTTTTTTTGGCATAGATGAGTGCATACTTGTTGTATCTGTTGTATCTGTTGAAATATCTCAATTAGTATTCTGCCAAATCCTGGAGTCTTGTTCTCCCAGGTGGTGCAGTGAATTAAGCCTTGGTCTGTTGGTGTTGTTAAGTGCCTTTCAGTCATTTCTGACTCACAGTGACCTTGTATAGTGTTTCCAAGGAGCGGTTGGTGGGTTTGAGGCACCGACATTGTGGTTAGCCGTCCAGTGCTTATTGTACAGTGCCACACCAGGACTCTAAGCTTTGGTCATCAAGTAACCAAAAAGTTAGGAAGTTCAAACCCACCAACTGCTCTGGAGTCTGCTTCCATAAAATTTACAGCCTAGAAAATCTTATGAAGACACTCTATGAGGTTGGTACGAGACAGAATACAGCCAACAATAGTGGGTCATATTTAGGGGATTTGTTTTTCACTAATGCCATTAGTGACACCTTGGACTTCTTCCTGCAGAACCATCAGCTGCCTCTTGAAATGGTGAAATGTAGACAACTTATTTTTGGTAAAGTGACTAAGTATTTTTTCTCTTTTGATGCTCTGGCATCATTCAATATTTTGCCCATATAATGCTTCAATGTTGCAATTCAAGGCTTGAATTTGTTTCTTCAGTCTTTCAACATGAGAAAGTTGGAATGTATACTTCCCTTTTGGTTTTCTAATGCTGGGAAAAACAAATTGATGAGGAATGAATATGAATGTCATATTCATCATCAAAAAGAGCATTTCAAGATCTACCTTGAAGTACAATGCTGTCTGTGATAGGATAATATCTATATGCTTATATGCAAGACTAATTAATACAACTGTTATTCAAACTTACAAACCAAACACTAAAGCCAGTAATAAGAAATTGAAGAATTCAACAAACTTCTTAAATATGAAAATGATCAAACATGTCATCAAGATGCATTGATAATTACTGGTGATTGGAATGCAAAGGTTGGGAACAAATAGGAAGGATCAGTAGTTGGAAAATAGGGTCTTGGTGATAGAAATGATGCTGGAGATCTCATAACAGACTTTTGCAAGACCAATGACTTCTTCATTGCAAATACCTTTTCTAAACAACATGAAAGGTAACTATACACATGGACCTTACCAGATGTCACACACAAGAATCCAACTTACTATATCTGTGGGAAAGACAATGGAGAAGCTCCCTATCATCAGCCAAAAGAAGACTGGGGCAGACTGTGAGAAAGGCCATTGACTGCTCATATGCAACCGCAAGCTGCAGTTGAAGAATGCAAAGACAACTCCACAAGAGCCAAAATATGAGACCACCTCAAGAACAGATTTGATGCAGTAGACACTAATGACCAAAGACCAGAAGAGTTGTGTAATGACATCAAGAACATCATCCATGATGAAAGCAAAAGGTCATTAGAAAAAAGGAAAGAAAGAAAAGATACAAGTGAATGTTCAAAGAAACTCTGAAACTTGTTATTGAACATAAAGAATTTAAAGTGAATGAAAGAGCTGGGTTGGACATATAAGTGGATTTCCAAATTAGGGGGTTTCCGGTTTTGTTGTGGAACAAAACCACCATCTGATCTTGCTAAAAACAAAAACAAAAACAAAAAAAAAACAGGTTTTGGATTCCCACCCTAATGAAACAGAACCTTCACAGGTAAGCCATGTTAAGTACCCACTTTCAGGAATCACAGTTCAAAACTCTTAACCAATGTAGCATTCATGTAGAGACAGAAAAAGTATGTCATGTGTGTTTTAGGACACAAGGCTGGGCTTAAGGAATCTATGATCTTCTCAGATCAGTTTAAAAATTGGTAAATATATTGTATTTTGTACTGTTACTATTTAAAAAGTGTTTACTTTCCATCAGGCTCTGTTCTGGTGTTGGATTATATGCCTCTTTAGAGGAACATAGGTGTATTTTATGTTGTTTAACCACTTAATGTGGAAATCTCATTATACATAAGAATGCAGGTAGAAAATTTCTTTCTTACTTTGGAATTTATTGTTATTTCATCTAGTGAAGATTACTACCATTTGCTTTTAATTATAATTATAATCAATAAGTTGCATCTAAGTAAGCAGACCATGGAGTATGCATAATTCCAAGGGGGTTCAAAGTCAAGTTAATACTCTACAACTGAGGGCATCCTTAATTTAACAAAAAATTTACTTTTCTTAGAGAATATAGTATATAATGTGTAATTAAAAATATTTGCCTATGATATGAACAAATCAATTTCAGAAAAAATTCAGGTTTTCTTTTACGTGGCAGATTTATGCAAAGACTGTTGTTGCTAGCAAGTCGGTTTCAACTCATAGAGACCCTGCATAGAATTTCCAAGGAGCGGCTGATAGGTTTGAACTATAAACCTTTCATTTAGCAGTCCAGCGCTTATCCTACAATGCCACACCAGGACTCCAATGATGATAATTATCACTAAGTGCTGTCGAGTCAGTTCTGACTCATAGTGATCCTGTATAGGATTTCCAAGAAGCAGCTGGTGAGTTTGACTCAATGACATTGAGGTTCATACCATCCTTATCTTACAGCACCACACCAGGACTATTTATTACTTAAGAAGCCTGGTGGTACTGTGGGTTAGGCTTTGGGCTGATACACATAAGGTTGATGGTTCAAACCTACCAGCCACTTCAAGGGAGAACAATGAGGCTGTCTGCTCCTGTAGAGATTTGCAGTCTCAGAAACCCTATCACTTGAGTCAGAATCGACTCAGTGGCAGTGGATTATTTATTACTTGCTTCTTTGTTTCAAGTACTATTCTATATGCTTTATATGAGCTAGTTCACTCACTCCTCAGAATGACCTAATAAGGTAGGTACAGTTATTATCCCTGTTTTCCTGATAAGGAAACAGAGGTTCAGCTGACCAAAGGTACACAGAAGCAGAGTATGGACTTAACCCCGACAGAGCACAAGCACTTAACCATAGCCTTATGCTTCATCTTTCATTGTACTTCTAAGGAAGCACTTTTAGAAATGCACAGCTATTAAGGATTCAAATTTTAAAGCCAGTTTTTGAGGCTGTAAATTTAAATGAACTGAAACTTGAAGAGCCTACTATTCTTCCTCTTGCATAATTCCAGTCTTTATTACTTCTTGCTGTCTTTCGTGTTATTGTTAAAGTGCCATCGAATCACTTCCAACCCATGATAATCCTGAATAGGGTTTCCAAGGAGCAGCTGTGAGTTTCAACGACTGCCTTTGTGGTTCAAACCTACTTTACAGTCCAGCGCATTAACCCACAGAACCACACCAGAACTTTGTGCTGTCTTTAAAGAGGAGTTCTTCTACAGTATTTGGGTATACTTTTCCAATAAAATTCTTTGGATGAAAACTGTATGCCAAGACCAGGCTGAACTGAAAAATGTATAAGTGAATTTAAAGTAGCATTCTTCTATGATCTTAAAGCATTTGGCCAAAACATGTGCAACATACAAGTACATTAACTTACCTGCGTCACTATTTTCCGTCACGTTCCCTTTATAGAGATGGTGAGTGAAGGAGAGCTTCGCATCTTCTCCTTCCATGTGAACAACCAGGAGACCAGTGGTTGTCCTGGCTGGAACGCCCTGGTCCATAACCTTTAACTGCACCCATATTGGAAAATATTCTGAAGGTGGGCTTTGCTGAAGCTGAATTTCTCCTGTATGCTTATCAACAGAAAATATTGACTGGGTTTCTGCAAAACTAAAAGTGACAGTTCCATTGGGTCCCAGGTCTGGGTCAGTGGCTCTCAGAATGGCAATCGTCAGGCTTGTAGGTGACTGCAGGGAAACAAAAATATCCAAGGGGTTCTGCTCCCAAACTGGATCATTGTCATTGATATCAGTGACGTGCACATCTACAATTGCTGTGGAGCTTCTCAAGCCCTGAACACCACAGTCTCTGGCCACCACCCTAAACAGATGCTGGGATCTGGTTTCTCGGTTGAGGGTTTGGGAAGTTCTCAATATGCCTGTAACAGGATCAATGGTGAAAGCACTCGATGCTTCACCCATCAGAAAATACTCAATTTGCCCATTTGGGCCTTCGTCTTCATCTGTAGCGGAGAGCACAAGAACCACGGTTCCTATGGCTGTGTCTTCTCTTACAGAGGACTGGTAATGATGCATGGAGAAGGAAGGGCTGTGATCATTGTCATCCAAAACCCTCACTTGCAACTGCATCACAGAGCTCCTAGGGGGATCCCCTGTATCAGAGCACAGGATGACAAGAGTAAAATTGTTGACCTGCTCCCGATCCAAAGCACGTGAAGTTGAGAGTTCTCCTGAGGTTTCATGAATAACAAAGGACTCATCAGTATTTCCAGCTAACAAAGAAAAAAAAATAAATAAATCAAGAATTATTTGAAATATAGCAGCCCATCACTAGCATTATACTCATTCACTCATTCATTCAACAATGATTTAGTTTTTGCTTCTTATAGGCTAGCACTTTTGTAGGTACTTTTGCACATACTGAGATATAATAAGGACCATGATAAAGTCCTTGCTCTAATGAAGTTCATATTCTATTGGGAACCTAAAAAGAATAATATAACTCAATATATACCTTTTAATTCAGTCATTAATGAGGATATATTTTGGGACAGATTTGCAGCAGTTGGATATTTCTTTTTGTGTAGCTGCAACTTCTTGTTTTCAGATTATCATTCATTATCAGGGGATTGAAATGTATGTTTTATTCTAAATAAAACAGTAGGACTCAAGGATCACATATCCATTTTTAGACATCAATCAGAAATGAATAAATAATAGTAATTTTTCCAAAAATTACACCTTACATATTTTATTTCAGTTATACTACAGTGAATAAGGAAGATCGTAGAAGAATTGATGCCTTTGAGTTGTGGTGTTGGAGGAGAATACTAAAAGTGCCATGGATTGCCAAAAGAACCAATAGATCTGTTTTGGAAGAAGTGCAGCCAGAGTGCTCCTTGGAGGCCAGGATGGCTAAGCTTCGTCTCTCATACTTTGGATACATTGTCCAGAGAGAACAGTTGCTAGAGAAGGATGTCATGCTAGGTAAAGTGGAGGATCAGAGAAAAAGAGGAAGACCCCCAACAAGATGGATCAGCCAGGTGGCATCATTGATGGCATCAAGTGTGGCAGCAGTAGTGAGGTTGGCCCAGGATCGGACATTGTTTCGTTCTGCTGTGCATGGGGTTTCTATGAGTCGGTTCCGACTCGATGGCACCTGACAACAACAACAACATACTACTGCAATAAACTTTGACTTCAAAAAGATTGTCCTTTACTCTTTTCTATGATGTTCAGTGTAGGAAAAGATAAAACTGACCAAAAGTCCTCAAGACATATTAAAGTATCCTGCAAATTAGTTGGAAAAATGTGTTTTAATGACTTGCTGGTCATATTCTTGGATGAGAGACTGGGTAAAAGGGCCAGGTCCAACACTAAGGGAACTTTCTGGAATACATGTATCTGAGACATCCAAGACAAGAAGAGGAATGACATTCACAGAAAATAAGAGTGGTATACAGTGATGAAGGCTAACCAGAGTGGGCTTGTTTAAGACAATTTATACCACATTGCCAAGGAAGAAAGATCCGGAAATTTGTTTTTGCAAAGATTACAACCAATAAAGCCCCATGGACAGTTCTACTCTGTCATATGGGGTTATCAGGAGTATGAATCTGCAAAGCGTTAGAACATGACCCCATCCTTAAGAGTTTAAAATCTAAGATGACAGGTATGCTTGTACTGGACATTAGAGAGCAAAGATCATCGTTACAAAGTTCTTGGAAGCACAGAGGAAGAGCACAGAATCCAGTGTTAGCATGCTCAGAAAATGCTTAGACAAAATAACATCTAAACTGGAGGAGTCCAAAGGGGTAATCTTAATAGATTTTCTTGAAGGATACAGTATGATCACATGGGCTTGTTAGAATGGAGTTGAAAGAAAAAAGAACAAAGCATTAGTGAAAAAAGGGCCAGGAAAGTTGTGCCAAGAAATTTTTTTCCATCACAAGGCACTAGCTCATTCTTTGAGGATAGCCAGGACTTTACTATTAACATTTTGTCATGAAATCTTACCTATAGCCTGATCTTAGCCCTTCAGACTTCTTTTTGCTCCTAAAACCCAAAGGACATTTCAAACAAAACATGTATTCCTTGAGGCTTTCCAAACTACTTTTTGTTATGGTGTAAATCAAAGAACACAGAAAACTTCAAGGAAGGGTTAGAGAGATGGAAACACTAACTTCAGAAGTACATAGACCTACACGTCAAGGAACTGTAGATTTATGCTTTGATATTTTTGGTTAATAGAAGTTTTCTGTGTTTTGTAGCAATACTTTTTGACTTACCCTCATACTTTGGAAGCAGATAACTTGTACTCTAGACTTCACAGGGTCACAGATTAAGAAAAATGTTGGCCCAAGATGTAATACTCTCCTAAAGCCTCACCCACATTTGCTTTAGATGATTCAGAGGCTGAAATGTTGGACTTGATTTAAGAACTTGTGGGATGATGTGATGAATTAAATGTGCCTTAAATGCAGAAAGGACATAAATTGGGGTGGACAATGGTTGGAATGTTATGGATTGACTTTTGTTCCCCCAAAACATGTGTTGTAAACCCTAGCCTCTATACCTGTGGTTATGATCTTATTTGAGAATGGTCTTTCTTATTATGTTTCTGAAATGGTATTCATGTTGGGTGTGTCTTAAATATGTCTCTTTTGAGATATAAAAGAGCAGATTAAAGAAGGAAGAAGAAATAGGGGAAGACAAATGGCAAGCCACATGAAGGTCAAAAGGAATAGAGAAACAGAAGCTGAAAACAGACAAATACCTTTCCTTAGAGCCAACAGAGAAAGAAAGCCTTCCTTAGAGCTGGCACCCTGAATTTGAATTTCTAACCTCTGAAACTGCGAGGAAATAAATTTCTGTTTGCTAAAACCACCAACTGGTTGTGTATCTGTTATAGTAACACTAGATAACCAAGACAGCAGATTTTCAGAGAATTTGAAGGGGCATGGTTAAGGATAACTATGGGAAGGAGGGAGAAATGAAAAGTCATGGTACTAGTGAGGCATTTGCAGGGTTTGTATTTCATAGATGAAGCAGCAGATGCCAAATAAGGAATCATCACCAGAGAGTGTTTGTCAGGAGTATTGGTAGTTCTGTAGAATTCTCTCGCCTTCCATGAGAGATGACCTGGGTTGGATTTCTGGCCAATGTACCTCATGCACACCCACCACTCATCTATCAGTGGTGGCTAGTGTGCTGCTACAATGGTGAACTAGTCTAGAACCTCTACTTCCAAAAACAAGCAAATGAAAATCCTATGGCTCTCAATGATCCAACAGGACCCAGGTACAGGACTGGGCAGTGATTTGTCCCATTGTGCATGGAGTCCCATTGTGTAGGAGTCAACTACACAGCAGCTAAACCATGTTTGTCTACTTCGTTGGTATCCTAGAAAGAATTAAGGGAAAAAAATTACCAATTATATGATACTTGACAGCTCCGTTTTTGCCAGCATCCATATCAATGGCTCGAACAGTGTAGATGACTTCTGGCTCTCGGTTCTCTGGCACCTCTGTGCCATGCCGGGAGACAATCCACTGTGGTGCATGATCATTTTCATCTTCGACAGTGCAGATCATTGTTGTGGTGCTGGACAATGAAGGGATGCCCTTATCTCGCACGAGTACTGACACAGAAACAAAGGCAGCCAGGATTATAGCCATTGATTTATGCTTAAAACATATTGTTCTTAGTAGATATCATCAGAATAAACTTATCAGGCAGTACTAGCTTGATAATACTTTATTTTAAGACACCCAATTAGAATGTCAAAATTTACCACCCAGCCTCTGGTGGCCTTTTTTAAAAATCATAGTCCAGGGATTTCTTACCTCTGAGGGTAAAGACTTCCTGAACTTCTCTGTCGAATGTGGTGGCTGTCACTATCTCTCCCGTGTCAGGATTGATCTCAAACAACCCAAATGAAGCACCTGGCATGATTTCAAACTGAAGCTTGGAATTGATTCCTTTAGGAAGATACAAAAGAAGAACTTAGCCACTATCCTTTTGGAATCCAACTGTCTGTTTTCTTATTCCTTTCCTGAAGAATGCGTCACGACACAGATGACAAAAGGCAAGATGCCTAAATAACCTTCAAATTAAGGTTTAAACAAAACAAAGCACACACGTGCATGCACAAACCCAACTTTTTTGGCCGTTCTTGCTAAATAAAAGCCTCATGGGCTGAAATGCTTGATTTTCGAAAGTTTTATGACACTTCCCCATAGTGAATGCTTAAGATTTTTTCCCTCCTATAAAAAATGTCTTATGAGTGTACAGCTATACAATATAGTCCTAATTACTTCTTGTAACACCCTTGATTGTGAATTAATAAAATAATTGTAACGTTGCAGGGCAAATGACAGTTCCTGTAAATGAACCCTCTGTTTAAAAGTTTGTGCTCAGTTACAGGATTCTGTACTCTCAGCCTCTGGCTGCGAGCACAGAGAGCTGCTTGTTTGAACACTTCTGTTTCATTTTGTTTTTCACTTTGTACTCAGTCTCCATTCTGGAGTGAGAAATGTGGATATATAGTACTGTGCATTTTGAAACTAATTCTTCCCATATTTTTGTGGTTTTATTTCTCTCCTGAGAAAAGTATCACATCGTTTCCAGCATTAGTTATGAAGATCCTTCACACCATTAGTTTTACTGAGTTTCTCCCCATGTGACTGCAGTTCATTTCAACCATTTCCCCATGTTCTTTTCTTAACTGACAAGAATGTAGCTACAGCTATACTACTCTGAATATATATTAGGTTATACTTTAATAAAAGGAAACTTCATTCTTTGGGCTCTAACAACAAGAAGAAATACCAATTACAAATTCCCACCTTACCAGTCTTAAAAGTTAAATTTGCATCTCACTGTAGTATGTGGTTGTTGTTGTTGTTAAGTGCCTTCTAGTGGGTTCGGAGTCATAACCACCCTGTGTAGGGTTTCCAAGGAGTGGCTGGTGAGTTTGAACTGCCAGCCTTGTGGTTCAGACTAACATTTTGGTCCAGTGCTTATCCTACAGCACCACAGCAGGACTGTATACTGCTGTTGTTGTTAAGTTCTGTCCAGTCGGTCCCAACTCACAGTGGCTCTGAAGAGGGTTTCTGAGAAGCAGCTGGTGGGTTTGACCTGCCTTGCCATTCAAACCGACTTTTCAGTTTATTGCTTATCCTGCAGCTCCACACCAGGCAGACTAGATGATAGAATATAGGACTGAATACTGTAAGGAGGAAATAGAATTCTAGCTTTATATAATCAATATTATGTATATAACTCAGGAGCTCTAGTAACATAGTGGTTATGAGATGGGCTGAAAATCTCAAAGTCAGCAGTTCAAAACTACCAGCCATTCCGCAAGAGAAAGATGAGGTTTTCTGCTCTCATAAAGATGTGTAGCCTTGGAAACCCTGTGCAAGGTTGCTATGCATCAGAACAAACCTGATGGCACACCACCACCACCACCACCACCATATATGTTCCTAAGGATGTCACTGGGAAGAAAAGAGGCATTTGAAATAACTGCAGTTAATATAATGTTCTTAATATCAAGCAAAGTCTCAAGATATCTGATATGGTAGGGTCAGAGTTCAATAAAACACTTCATACTATCAGTACACAGATTATTAAGCTAATGATCAAATCATTTCATCTACAGCCAAGGCAGAACTTCTAAATACTCCAACTTGTTAACACTATAATTTCTTTCAGTCACTATTATAAAATGGGGACATGATTTCGCCTCACCTTGACTTTGTTTGCTTCTCAAATATTTGTTGAGCAACATCAGGTGCCACATGCAGACTAGTAAATAACACAGATATAGTTTCCACCTTCACAGAGCTTACATAGAGAACCCTTAAACCATTGCTCTAGAATTGATTTTAACTCACGAACCCCATGTGTGACAGAGTAGAACTGTTCCCTAAGGTTTTCTTGACTGTAATATTTATGGAGTTTCATTTTACTTGGATTCACAATCAATTCCCAGAGAAGCAGCAGTCAAGAAATCAATAATATCTGATACTGGACAAATCTACTGCACAAGATCCATTGAAATTGTTAAAAAGGAAAGATGTCACTCTGAAACCTAAAGTGCTCCTGACCCAAACCATGGTATTTTCAATTGCCTCCAATGCATTGAAAAGCTGGTGAATGAATAAGGAAGACCAAGAATTGATGCATGTGAATTATGATGTTAGGGAAGAATACCAAAAGCACCACAGACTGCCAGAAGAACAAACAAATCTGTCTAGGAAGAAGTACCACCAGAATATTCCCAAGAAGGCAGGATGGAGAGATTTTGTCTTACACCTGCTGTTGACATTTTATCAGGAGAAATCAGACCCTGGAGAAGTACATCAGACTTGGTAAAGGAGAGGATCCACAAAAAGAGGATGATCCCAAACAAGATTGTTGGAACAATGGGCTCAAGCATGGCCTAGATTGTGAGGTAGTGAAAGACCAGGTAGTGTTTTGTGCTGTTGTACATGGGGTTGCTGTGAGTTGGAAGCTAACAAAAAACAACACCAATCTTTATGAAAGCAGATCACCAGGCCTTTCTTTGTGGTTGCTGGCTGCATTTGAACCACAAATATCCTGCTTAGTAGTAGAGCATTGTAGGTTAAGCACTGGACTTCTAATCCAAAGGTCAGTGGTTCAAACTCACCAGCCACTCCTCAGAAACCCTACACAGGGTCACTATGAGTCAGAACCGACTCAACGACATTTAACAACAACAACAATAACAATGGACAATTGCCTTATTTAATTTTTTCAACCTTTCATTTTTTTAAAATAAATTTTCTTGTGTATCTTATTATTATCATAATTATAAGGTTCCATTGAGTTGGTTCCAGTCTATTGTGGCCCTATATACAACAGAACAAAATACTGCCCGGTCCAGTGCTAGCCTCACATTTGCTGCT